TGAGTACAATCAATGTGAGGTCTGCTAACTTCAGGTAGAAATATCAATATTGTTACGTGAGTACAATCAATGTGACCTCTGCTAACTTCGGGTAGAAATATCAATATTGTTACGTGAGTACAATCAATGTGACCTCTGCTAACTTCGGGTAGAAATATCAATATTGTTACGTGAGTACAATCAATGTGACCTCTGCTAACTTCAGGTAGAAATATCAATATTGTTACGAGATCACAATCAATGTGACGTCTACTAATTTTCTGCACAGAAAGACAACGCAGGGCATGAGGGCTGCTTGCAGCACAAACCAGTATTGTTACTCAGAAAATTCTATTTAATTATATTCAAGCTTTCCAGCACTGCATAACGATAACTACATTTTATTTTTAAAAAAAGGATGATAATAAACTAAAATAATGTAATTTCATACAGTCCATATTCATTTTATACATTACTTAAAGAAACATACTAGATTAGCTCACATGTGAAGAATATCTTGTAAAACTTTTCCTGTAATCAAAATATTTAATAGAACAATTAATTACGTTATTTCAACTAAGACTAATTCTCGTTTCGACGGTAGGGTTATTTAATAGAACAATTAATTACGTTATTTCAACTAAGACTAATTCTCGTTTCGACGGTAGGGTTATTTAATAGAACAATTAATTACGTTATTTCAACTAAGACTAATTCTCGTTTCGACGGTAGGGTTATTTAATAGAACAATTAATTACGTTATTTCAACTAAGACTAATTTTCGTTTCGACTGTAGGGTTATTTAGTTGACTTTCAAACTTTTAAACCCAAATCTGATTTTACAAAGTTTAGTGCGATTGAAGGCCACACTACTACCACCCATAAATATAACTAAGAAATACTACAAACACTTAGGTAACTTCTATTGTTCGGGGAAAAAGAAATACGGCAAAATTTTGTTTTCCTTGTAGAAATGTCATAACGACAACAAACTTTTATATCATGTTTAATTAACAAAGCGCGGTTAAATTATTTTTGTTAATAAATGAGATTCCACACTATATATTAAAACAAGTTTTCAGAAGTGTTATATATGTTTCAGCATAAAAATAATAACAACAAAAAACCACTAATAATATTCATTGTAGTAAAATACCGAAAACAAAACACAACTTCAATATCTACTTGAAAAAAATAAAAGACATGCGCAGGTAAGACTGAATGTCATTTAAAGCACGTGGTTACAAATAAATAAAGCATATAATATACAACACGTTGAATGTGAACTACTACAAAAAACATGTCTCATCCTTAATACTCGTTATAATTTTCAAACTCTCGAAGATAGAATTATGTACATCACTGGGGGGAAAAGTAATTTGTTTATTTCCCATCGATTAAAAGACGAAGCAACGGAAGAGTTGAAAGCAGGCATCTAATATGTATTCTCGTGCGTTTCTCTCTTTTTTTTGGGGGGGGGGGGAGGAAGGGAAATATTTTAATATTTTTTTTGAATCGTGATTCCGATTTCTAATAATATATTTTTCTGAGAAATTTTATTTAAAGATTTTTGATTAATATTCTACAAGTCTACAGAAAAAATATAAAAAATAAGATTTCACCCTGAGAAATGGGAGTTCTCTATTTTGAAATACAATATTTTGGAACAAGCATGACGTCTTTGTAAGTTACTTGAAAATACGATGATATGCTTATTGTGGCTAACCCAGGTTAAATTTTTGTCCACAAAGTTGCTTTCAGTTTGGACTTATGAATATTTATTTAATTCTTATGCAGTTCGATTTTGACTGTTCTAATTGTACAAATTAAAATAACAGTTTCTTAAACACTCTGACGAACAAATAAACAAACGTACATGTTACCATATTACAATACCAAACCGTTTCATTTCCACACACACACTTATGCTTTCAGCACAAAACTGGTTATGAAAATAAACTAAAGTTAGATTACAAAAATGATGTACATTCAACTCATAGAGAATGAAGTGAAACATCCAACACCACATTCATGATAATAATCTATACAGTTAACAAACTAAAGATGTGAATGTTATAACACGCGGTTTTGACGTACCAGTTACAGGTTTTCACAAATTCGGAATTTATAAAATCACGCCTTTTAAATACTTTCTGTAGAAGATATAACGTTCATGGAATTATTCAATCTGGATATTTTTTAAGTAAAGTAGCCGCAGGATTTCATTGGTGGAATAAATCCTCCGTATAAAGAGACAAACACTCAACATTTTCATCGTTTGTACAGGTATTCATACACAATAGATATAATCTACAAAACCAAAATTTTGATGACTTTCAACTGGTTAATCTGCGAGACTTTGTTATGAAGTTCATTAGGGTTGCACTGTTCCATTCTTCTGTTCTGTATTGTCACCATCGTACGTCTAAATAAAATTTAAAAACAAAATAAAAAGAATCAAAAGAACTATTAATAACGAAAGACTCAGTTAACACACAAATCAACCTGGTTTCTATTGCTTATCGTGTAATAAGTAAAAACGAAAAGGTTTTAAAAAATATTATTAACAGGTGCAAATATTTTAATACGAGTTTATAGCAAAATAAAGCTTATTAGAAGAGTGAAATATTTCATTAGAATTAAATAGAATTACGAGGTAAAACTGTTTGTTGCGTAACAATTAAAAGAATTAATTCTATTATGAGGTAAAACTGTTTGTTGCGTAACAATTAAAAGAATTAATTCTATTATGAGGTAAAACTGTTTGTTGCGTAACAATTAAAAGAATGATATTCTAAAACTTGGCCTATACTTTGATAGTACAGGGTGATGCAAAAGTTATGCATCATCGTGATTTTTCAAAGTCTACCCTTACAGCTGTTCGGAATGTGCATGTCAAAGTATACCCTTACAGATGTTCGGAATGTGCACGTCAAAGTATACCCTTACATCTGTTCGGAATGTGCACGTCAAAGTCTACCCTTACAGCTGTTCGGAATGTGCACGTCAAAGTCTACACTTACAGCTGTTCGGAATGTGCACGTCAAAGTCTACACTTACAGCTGTTCGGAATGTGCACGTCAAAGTCTACACTTACAGCTGTTTGGAATGTGCACGATTGGTATCACGACGTTACGAGAGGAATAATTTCATAAATTTTTACAACGTTACAAATTCTCTTGTCAAAGGGAAGGGACAATTAATGAAACACAAACACGACTTAGGAAAATTATTGTAAGGGTAGAACTTAGAAATATCATGGTGGTCATTGGTATTTGGCACTACACTGTATCAGCAAGCTGCGTACATCAAAATATTAACATGGACGAAATATTTTATCACTTTATAAAAAAAATGACAGCTCCATCTTCCGTGGTAAAAAAAAAGTAATTCAAAAGAAAATTATTCCAATCCTAAAAAAGTAGACCTTGTAACGCACTTCACAATTCAAACCTGGTGGAAAGATTTGGAAGCTCATAAACATTAGATCAATAAGTCAGGTTCTAGATTATGATTAACACGAGAAAACTACACCAAAGACCAGCGAGGTTGAAAATTAGTAAATGTTCTGCCAAAACATGCAACTTGACAGATACGAATATCTAGACATCTATTAATAGAGTTTTGAAGACAAATATTTTGTAAAATGAATAAGTGTGCAGACCACTGATATATACATCATACTTAGAAAACCAGCAGTAAGGTTTTATTATTATTATTATTTAAGTAGTTTGCGCAAACTGACACAAAAGCTAGCTGCGCATAGCTGGCCATAATTTTAAACAATAGGTTTGGTAGCTAATCAACAGCACCCGTCGCCAGCTCTTGCGTGATCGGCTAATGGGGTTTTGGCAGTCGTTTTTACAGCGTACCAACTTCCCCAATGTGTTGAAAATATTTTTAAGGCAGCGGGACGCAAAATGTGAATCGCCGGAAATCACTAAGCTACGGTTTATCAACAATAAAGTATTAATTAATTATTGTACTTCACTTTAGGGTTAGGCTGTTACACTACTCATAATTTTATATGAAACAAGGCTAACAGTTTCCTGCTTGCGTCAGAAGTTAAAAGCTTTAAAATACCGTAACTTACGCTTTCTTGGAGCACTCGGCTACTTACTGATGAGTATTTGGCTAAATACTGAACCAATTTCCAGTGAAATGGGAAATCGCAATAGTTTCAGTTACTGGTTTGTTTTATTTTGAACTTCGCGTAAAGCTACAAGAGGGCTATCTGTGCTAGCCGTTCCTAATTTAGCA